TGTGTGCGTTGCGTGCGTGCCTGCATGTGTGTGGGTGTGTGGTGTGTGTGTGGTGTGTGTGTTGTGTGTGTAGTTGTTTGTGTGTGGTGTGTGTTTGTGTGTGTGTTTGTGTGTGTGTGTGTTGCGTGCGTGCGTGCGTGCGTGCCTGCAGTGATGGTGCGTGGTGTGTGTGTGTGGTGTGTGTGTGTGTGTGTGTGTGGTGATGTGTGTGCGTGCGTCGCCCCGTGCGTGCGTGTGCATGCATTGCGTGCGTTCGCGTGCGTGCGTGCGCGGTGCGTGCGCGGTGGGTGTTTGTGGGGGTGTGTTGTGGGTGTGTGTGTGTGTGTTGTGTGTGTGTGTTGTGCGCGCGCGCGCGCGGTGGTGTTGTGCGCGCGTGTATTTGATACTGATATTTATTGTATCTTAACATCATTGGCTAATATAGATAATGAATATACGTAGAGCCACGTGTGTGCTGACCTATACTTGATTATGGCATCTTACAAATCGGCGACCGAGAATTCATAATTAGAAAGCAGATGGAGGCTTAGATTTTTAGATGGAAACTAAACGATATATGAAATGGGTGGAGCTAAAGATGTTTGGTGAGAAATCATGAAATTATTAAAACAATGCGTGCTTACAACATCTCCATGTTGGCTTTTTAATATATGCATTCATTGTTCTCATATTTACGACAAGAAAGTACTTGGAACGGGCTGCTAGTAGTACGTTAGGCCGTAGGCGATGGAATCGAAAAGTCATCTCATCAATCGGTTTTTGTTTCACAATTTTATTTGTTCTATAATTTAAAATTTCTGGTAGTGAAGCCAATAACAATAAACTGGAAAAAATGGAATTTTAGAGCATTACAACTTGCAGGGACGTAGCTACCGTAACGCAGATACGCAGTTGCGTATACATCATTTCAACAAGCTTTTTTTAGTGGAGAAAGAGAGAGAAAGAGAGGAGAGAGAGAAGAGAGAGAGAGAGAGAGAGGGGGGGGAGAGAGAGAGAGAGAGAGAGAGGGGAGAGGAGAGAGAGAGAAAGAAAGACACAGAGAGAGAGAGAAGAGAGAGAAGAGAGAGAGGAGGAGAGAGATGAGAGAAAGAGAAGGGGAGAGAGAGAGAGAGAGAGAGAGAGAGAGAGAGCAGGGGGGAGATGAGAGAAGAGAGAGAGATAGAGAGTGAGGGGGGGGGAGAGAGAGAGAGAGAGAGAGAGAGAGAGAGAGAGAGAGGAGAAGAGAGAGAAAGAGAGGAGAGAGAGTAGAGAGAGACGATGAGAGAGGAGAGAGGAGCCGAGAGAGAGAGAGAGAAGAGAGAGAGAGAGGAGAGACTGATTGAGTGAGACGGAGAAGAGACGAGAGAGAAGACGAGAGAGAGGTAGAGGATGAGAGAGAGAGAGAAACGAGAGGAGAGGAGAGAGAGGAGAGAGAGAGAGAGAGAGAGATAGAGTCAGTCAGTAAAATTGTAATAAAACAATGTCTGTCGTATTAAAATGAAAATGAAATGGAAAATGATATAATTCCACCTTTGAAAGATACGGGCCACAATTTACGTAGAAAAAATGTTGAGCCACCAAATTTTAATAATGGTAAATATGGAAAGAAAAGTTTCGGCCATTACGGGTCCAGTTTATGAAATAACCTGCCAAATTGTATTCGGGATGCACAGAACTTCAAGCACTTTACAAATTTGATAATTTCTTGGGATGGAAAGAAATGCGACTGTGCAATGCGTAAATTTTACAATCCACTGTTCATTTTTTTCAGGTTCTAATTCGCAGCTCCAATCTTTCGAGATTTTTATCTGTTTTTTTCAGTTCATAAATAAATAAATATATATATATATGTTTAATAAGATATGTTATAAAATAACTAACTGATTAAATGATTAAAACTGATGAAATGATAAATTGTATCATTTCATCAGTTTTAATCATTTTATCTGTCTCAAATGTGATATGTAAGCAAAAATTTTCTAAGTCATGTCATACTGCCATATACTGTGTTATTATACATTTGGTTTATATACAGTTTAAGAGCTATTTTCAAAAATCGTGTTATCGTTGCTGTACGATGAAAATAAAGATTACGTATACCAATAGCGAACTAGACGGAGGGCACTCACGGAAAGTGCATACCTCGCGGAGCGTGTAACATGTATGTTGTATAACAGCTGGCTCGCTGCTGGCTGTGCTGACTGCGACGCCTAAGGCCGAGCTGGCTGCTGAATCGATCGCGGCGAACACTAGTGGCTACACACCACACACGAACATCAACTACGCGACGCATTGCATGACCTCCGTTTGCGCGGAGGTAATTACGAATTTTTAATACGCTCTTGCTTATACTATAAAGCTGATACCAATGCTTATACCATAGAGTTATATATTAGTTATATATAGAGTTATATATTTATACAACTCTATGGCTCATACTTACTAACAGGCAAAAGCTAAGGCAAAGCGGCACGGCATGGTGCCTCCATCTATCGCCACAATATTTAGGTTTATTTTAGAAATCCTGTTCGAAGCCTAGTATTAGAAGATACGTTATTACGCATGTCTTCTGGGGAGGCGCGCGAGACTTGTCTATTATTTGTGACTACACTATTATTGTGTCATACACTATTAAAGTAATATACAGCGTAATCTACCGAAAATATTATACTGTTTTTTCGTTGCACAGTAAATTGGTGAAGTAAACTAAAGGTATCGGCACGTGTCTCACTGTTAGGACCAAGATGGCAGTTATTCTTGAAACAACCCTTGGCGATATCACAGTAGATTTATACACACAGGAAAGGCCACGAAGTAAGCATGATTCGGTAGTGTAGACAGCCCAAGCCTAGTTTATCACCACAGATTAGTGTAGCACATAATTATACAAAAACATATTGCGGGGTCCCAGACTATCCTTTGTCCGAAGTAGTCACTCCTGCGACTTGCTGATGCAAGTGTGCTGATGTATTGTACTGTGTACACACATTAATTGACACTCGTACTCGTAGTCGTAGTCTCGTGTGGCTCTTCACCACCATACTTTTAGCGGAGCGAAGTCCTACTCCTAGTCCTAGTAATAATAGTTAAACAGTTAGCCAGAGAGACCGGGTACAAGATGGCGTTGCGCAAAAGATGCGTTGTTCCCCGACCGCCGAAAGCGGTTAAGCCACGCACTTCCGCGGGACTGGGCGCACGCGACCGCGGGGTGTTGTATGTAGCATCTCGCGCTCCCCTTTGAGGTAAAGTACGCGGGGAACAGTTCCAGAAGGAAAGAAAGAGAGAACGCGTGTGGAAGTGAGAGAGAGTGGGAAAGAGCGAGATCGAGAGCAAGAGAAGGAGAGATCACATCATACTGATTGCTACTGGCATAGCAAATGTCAAACCTCCACGCGTGCGGACACACCACACGCACACAAGCACGACTCACCCACGCACGCGCGAACGAATGCACACACTGACACATACCTACTCACATACGCGCGCACAAATACATTATGATATATTATGATATATATATGTATCAGGAGTATGTATCTGATATGTATGTATGTATAAAATAACCCGTTGACCCACATTTGAAGCATGATTTACAACATTCCATTCATGATTTGTGTTTTCCGGGTCATTATTTGCACACGCGCACATAACGTACGCAAATAATGAACAGTGGATACTATTATGCCCATTCGGTGACGCTATCCTATACAATGTAAATACAATAGGATCAGGATTACACGAATAAGAGATTCTCAGAATGACAGATTAATGACAATACTTGTATAAGAGATTATCTGAATGACAGATTAATGAAAATACTTGAATGAGAGATTTTTTGAATGGCAGATGAATGAGAGTACATGCAAGAACGAGAGATCTCTCATTTACGTTGTACTGATTCGCTCATTCATTCCATTCGTTTCTACTAACTATATTCATGTATTCTAGATAGTAAAGCGTCGCAAGTTGTAATAATTTAGAAGAATAATTAGAAGAACCTAGGACGATAGTTATTCCTCTAATCGTATTTGATTGCTGGAAAATTTGCAGCAGAATACGTCAATTCTGTCAATATTACTTTGAAATAGGTAGGTAATACATGATTATGAATAAATACGAATGGATGTAGCGAAACGAACTCAGCTAAATAGAACCGCGGTCTGTGCGCTGAATAGTGAATGATATAAGGAGATTGCACGAAGCAAAACCTATTGCTTTCAAATCATGATGTCGCTATGTGTAAGTGACATTACAGATAACTTTAACATGACTTGTTTTTTAAATGAGATACTATTTGTGGAAAATATTAATAGGAATATTTATGTTAAATTCATACGTTTGAAACGCATATTTACATGCTGCCATGTACTACACCCCTCACTAAATGTGTATAAGAACATATTCATGCGCTTGTCAATGTATCAGGAAATTCGCAGCGCAGTGCTGAGTCATCTGTCCCTCTGCTTCTCTAAGGATGTCGCGTGGAAAGACGACATAAAGTTTTGATTCCTAAAAATCTACAGAATTCACAAAAATCTCACCACAGCGATCACGTGGACGTTCGGGTTGGACGATAAATTAATAATTATTAATGTTAAACTCTGTAGTGAGATTGCGTAAAATCCTATCTTAACTATACGGGTTCCAACCCTGAGCCCATGATACTGCTCTTATCTCATAGGGAGAACTGCGGGGAAGAGGCGGTGACCAAAGGCACCAGTGCGCATAAAGCAGTCTACTATGACGAAGTTATGTCAGATGGTCAACATGTGACGAGCCGTAGTCGAGGCCGTTGCTCGCACCAGCCCCGAAACGAGTACAGTCGAAACATAAGCCGCCTTGCAGCGCCGACAGGTCATTTAACAACGAACCTTCGCACATTTCTTAGCCTGACGAGTGCCATACGATTGGAACTGCATGTATCTGATGATGGGAACAGATTTATTCGTTAGTTTTCAGTCCACGAGCTTGGAGTATTTTCAAACTAATGGTGCATACAACGAGTGAATATGCTCCATTCGCACACACGGGTATTCATTTGCTGTCTGTCCTGGACATGACATTCTGCCATTTTCGAAATGATATACGAAATGATAGATATTATGTTCGTAGGGACGGGAAAGTAAAGAGGACAGGATCATAGTTTGTTATTGAAATCGAGAGGCACCGACGCTGAAATAACGGAAGCCATAAAGTCCAGCATCGCTGTATACGATCAGAGATTGGAGTAAGCTAACTGCGATTATAAATATAAACATAAATATATATATATATATAAAATAAATATAAATATGGCCGACATAAAACGCATGATGCGTGTATACACCGCGGCGGCGTCGCATGTCAAACGCTGGTGATGTGGTCTCGCTAGAGGCAGCACCATCGCGCAGCCTTACGAACGAACCCGTGTCCGGTTCCTTAACCCATCCCCCCTCTTCTGGCTAATTGTTCTTATGCAAGCTTATAAGAGAGTAAACCGAGCTGGGGCACCCAAGAGCTCTCTTCCTGTCACGAAAGTCTGCACAATCGCGCGATGTTTTCACAAATGTGCAACGTTACTATAACGACGCTATAGCAGCAGCAGCCGTATGTGCAACCATCGGCTGCGCGCCACCCCCACAAACATCCTCCCAGTGGGCCAGCGGTCGTGCTGAGAGCAGGGAGCGACGGATGCGCTTATATTGCAGCCGCTGCGTACACTCTCGGGCGCAGTCGCCGCTGCATGCGGACAAGCACCTGGTGTCCATGAATCGATGCTGCAGCGTCTCCTCCCCCACTCCCCCCACACACACATTCATCCCTCGCTCAGGAGCGGAGGTTACGCGCAGGGTTATGGTAATCTGCCGGATATGGGCCACCGGCAGAATAACAAATTTGCGGTTTATTGCGAAAGCTTCACGGTTACTACATACAGTTTAGATGACTTCTGGTCTTATCATCTGCGTATCATATGTCGAGAATGTGCGCATGCGCACGCGTTGTGAATTACATGCGGACCGGAACCAGACGACAACTACTGTATGTGTTATAATGTCACTTCTAGCGACACTCACATGCTATAGCCATCAACGGTCAGTTCGAGCGAAGTGCGGCCAGCGTGACCATTACTTGGGTAAACATTCAGCGCCATACATCTTCCACGACAACTATGCAATAACTTGAAACAGGATGCGCATAAACTAGACGAAACCTAACCCCCGCTAAGCTCCGAGAGCTCCTCGGGTTTTTCGACGTATAGTTTAATTTACAGCATATAGGCGAGAACATTGCAGGTTTCTTTTTATCGAGCGCCAGCCGCCTTGCGCGATATTTATGACCACCTCACACGAGATACATCGCAGATACACTCATGCAAATAGACTCGCGCACGCACGCACGCACACACACATCGCACACGCACCCGCACACACCCCCCACGCACCCACACACACAAACACCCACACACACACACACACACACACACACACAGCACACACACCACACACAGCACACACACATACACACACACACACACACACACACACACACACACCCACACACACACAACAGCACACCACACATTACACACGCACGCCACGCCACGCACGCACACACGCACACACGCCACACACGCTACACACACACACACACATACACACACACACACACACACACACACACACACACCACACACACACACCAAACACACACACACACACCACACACACCACACACACACACCAAACACACACACACACACACCACACACACACCCACACACACACACACACACACACACACACACCCACACACACACACACACACAGCGGAAATCAGCTGAAACGCACCCGCTGCGCGGGCCTTCTTGTTCGCGTCAAGTCAAGCTCTTGCCAGGCTATATGCCGTCGTAATTGTGACCTTGGCGGGAACTGGGCGGATATAATGATCGGCTTTGATGGGCGGATATGATGACGTGCACGCTGGTTCTCGAGTGTGCGCTTCGCGCTCGCACGCAGTAGCAGATCTAATGAGCTGTCCAAGTACAAACTTCAATGTACAAGTGCGAGGAACTGTTCCCCGCGTACTTTACCTCAATTCTATCTTCGTAGTCGACTCTCTCTCTCTCTCCCTCGCTCTTTCTCTCTCTCTCTCTCTTCTCTCTCTCTCTCCCTCGCTCTTTTCTTCTCTCTCTCTCTCTCTCTCTCATCTCTCTTCTACTCTCTCTCTCTCTCTCTATCTCTCTCTCTATTTCTCTTTCTTTTTTCTCTCTTTCTATGTCCCTCCGTTGATGAGATGCTCTATATTATTTAAATTATCTATATGATATTTGTATATTTACATTCATTTAAATTCTATGACTCGCGCTGTCTCTCCACCCTCTCCCTCCTCTCGTTCTGCAGCGCTACTCTCTCCATCCGCGCTCTCTCTCTCTCTCTCTCTCTCTCCGGCGCTGCGCTCTCTCCCGCTCTCTCTCTGCTCTCTCTCTCTTCTCTCTCTCTTTCTCTCTCTCTCTCCGCTCTTCTCTCTCTCTCTCTCTCTTTCTTTCTCTCTCTCATCTTTCTCTCTCTCTCATCTCTCTCTCTCTCCTCTCTCTCTTTCTCTCTCTCTCTTTCTCTTCTCTCTCTCTCCTCTCTTCTCTCTTCTCTCTCTCTCTCTTTTTCTCTCTTTCTCTCTCTCTCTACTCTTTCACTCTCTAATCTTCTCTCTCTCTCTCTCTCTCTCTTCGCTCTCTCTCTCTCTCTCCCTCTCTCTCTCTTTCTCTTTTCTCTCTCTCTCTCTCTCTCCTCTCTGCCTTTCTCCTTTTCTCTCTCTCTCGCTCTGCTTTCTGCCTGCAT